AGTACTGCCCCTCTTCGCTGTTTTTAAAGTGTCTAACACGGCCAAGTAAAGCAGGAAATGTGTTTATTTAGGAAATATTGCTAAAGCTTAGCCACGGTTAAAGAAGTTTGCATCGTCTAACATATGGTTAGAAGAACGTCTTAAAATTTTTGTGATCAACTTTATAAAATAGGCCCATAGGCCTACTTTACACCAATTTTGGCATTGTGCAAGTCTTTTGTGTGCTTTTTTTGTACGTCATTTCAATATCCGCGAGATATTTACTCTTTATCTAGACCTTTTCCTAACAATATTTTCTGCTGTTATTTACATGAAAATACCAAGAGGAAAAGTTACCGTGACATTCTAAAAACCATGTTGCATCTGTTTGTTTTCCTTTTGTGGCCGTAATTATAAATTAACCAACCGTTTATAGTTTTAAAACCTGGTATATTTTCAGTATTAAGGCCAGTCTAAGCGAGTTTCCAGAGGTACGGCTAGGTCTATAATTGTCTGCACGTCTCCACGTATATCCAATGTAGTGAAGACCTATAGACTTAGGTCTAGATAACAGATTTGGATGTAGCCCAAGTTATTCTCCGCCGTCATCTCGATTTCTGTTGATTTGCATACGTTACTGACCAATGGAAGTCCATCACGAATATTTGAGAACAAAGTACAGCCTGGCACTGATAGTTTATTTGCCGACCTGAAGAGTGAGAGACAAGTAGCCTTTCAATACGCAGTGGATGTATATCACACTGACAAGACGGTAAATTGTCCCCAGGATGATAAATGTGAAATCAGAAGATAACACAGTTGTATGCATGTGAGCAGTTCAGACAATGATCCAGCACCGGTTGCTAGGGTTTCGCGTCGTCGGCTGTTTGTAGTTTCAGATTAATCACTATGTGCTACACACTCGCCCTCATATTTGCTACCAAGTTCGCGGCAAACGAGGTTGGTGTGTCCGTTGAAAATCTTGGAGACGGTTGTAAGGGGCGTTGTAATTCAAGGTAACGTCAGCAAGATGAGGCAATTTCTACGATGTTCCTTGCTTGTGTGTGCCCTGAATTTTCTCGTCAGCACACACTGGGTATCGGCACAGGCAACAGGGGGTAAGTAACCGTGAAAACACGGCACTGAAGTGTTTTAAAATTGCTGGTGCTGCATTTCTTTGAATTTTATTTCATTTTAACTGGGGCCGTAGAGAACTCTTCATGTAAAAGTGCTAATCCTGTTTCAATTCATGTTGTTATTGGACCGTTCTGATACCTCCTGTTGGAACTCAGCAATAGATGTTGGATTCGTACTCAGTTTTATGGAAAAAGATGTGACAAGGTCTATGGTATTTTTCCTCGCCGATATTATGTTCGTCTTTTAGACTCTGCCATTGCTTTTCTCAGATGAAATTTTGATTACAGCTCTAGGAGAGTTTCCCATGAGGCTTAAAAGCAAAGACTTAGCGGCCAGTCTCGCAGAAATTATTCAACCCCCACCACGCAATTGACGTCAGTCAGATATGAAGTGTCTTCAGGCATACGGTTTAACTTTTTACCAACAGCCATTAGATATCCTGGCAAGACAGCACAGGGGCTAAGGCCGCGCATGAACAAACCATTTCATCTCTTACACGTAGGGGCCTAGGCGTTTTTCCCCGATAATTTATAAAATGAAGGCTAGCGATTGTTCCCTGATTAATGGTTCGTGGAGGAAAAAAAATTGGCTTGTTGCAAGTTGCAAAAACTCTAATAAAGTGCAGAAACGCCAACAATAAATTACTAGGTGATAATGAGCGTACGCACTCTTCATTCTAACTCGATGATGGTTTCACAATCAATATAAAAATTCAGTCATGCATTTGCCTCACATCAGGATTAGGTTCTTACATATTTTCTCTCGATTGATTAATAACTAGTTAACAGCTATTTCGTGAACAGTGTTAACTGTTTTATACATGCTAATTTTTATCAGCACTGTACATTTAACCTGGTAAGACTTAGTGCTCATCGGTGTTATTTTTGAGGTTTTATAACAAAGCGATGTAACCCCTGTGTAGACAAAATTTGGTTTCTTTCACCATTAAGACGTGTTTCCGGTGGCTATTAATTCGTTTGAGTTCAGAATCATTCTGGTGTTTAAATTCAAAGATTATTTCAGTGAAGTTTCGACCTGGATATTTTCAGTCTTGATTAACTCGGTTCAATAATTAAACCTTTTCCTTAAAGCAGATCTGATTGCAGTTCTGTGATAAAATTGTTAATGATTTGTGAATTGATTTCCAAATCGATTCAATTACACTAATTAATGTAAACAATTTGATGTAATTACTTCAAGCAAAAAACTGAAACAGAGAGTGTACATTTCATGTGTCGTCTGGGAACTAAAACTAATTAGACTGGTGGCACTTAATCTAATAGACTGTGCGTGCCATAGATTGTCACAAATCTGGTTACATTTTCCTCGCTATGGTCGATCGCACAATTCGAGTAAAGGGTCTATACGCACTTGGGGCACAAAATTTCGTTGCACATTTTGACCTGTTCGAAGCCAAGTCCAGTGTTTTTGTTGCCAAATTTCGTGTAAACTATTGCTACACAGTCAACCAAACCTTGTTTTTTGTATCTTTAGTGTCAGTTCGCCTTGTGGGTGGTTTTTCTGAAAATGAAGGTCGTGTTGAAGTGAACTACCAAGGCCAATGGGGTACAGTTTGTGACGATGGATGGGACCTCGATGACGGTAATGTCGTCTGTCGCATGCTTGACTTAGCTCTTGCAACTCGTGCCTGGGGCGGATCTCACTTTGGTCAAGGATCTGGTCCGATCGCTCTGGACGACGTCAGTTGCTATGGCAACGAATCAAACATTGCTGACTGCCAACACCAAGCCTGGTTTAGTCATAACTGTGGACATAGTGAAGATGCAGGAGTTACCTGTGGTGAAGCGATGACAACGCCAGCTCCAGGTGGGTTTATTTAAATAAGAAAAGTTTTCCTTTATTTCCTTACATTAAACCCATTTTTTTCCAGTAGAGCCTAGCATTACCTGACTTTCACAGAGATATTTATGGATCGTGACGTCTTTCTTTACCATGGGACATCTTAATTTTTGCAAATTACAGCAAATTACATATTCAATGTATGATTTTTTTCCTTCTCAATATCAGTTCGTCTTGTGGGTGGAGCGTTCAATGAAGGTCGTGTTGAAGTGTACTACCAAGGCCAGTGGGGTACAGTTTGTGACGATGGATGGGACCTTAATGACGCTAATGTCGTCTGTCGCATGCTTGGCTTACCTCCTGCAACTCATGCCTGGGGCAATGCTCACTTCGGTCAAGGAGCTGGTCGAATTGCTCTGGACGACGTTAGTTGCAATGGTAACGAAGCTAGCATTGCTGACTGCAGACACCGAGCCTGGTTTACTCACAACAGGTAAGTCTCTATCATATCAATTCCTCTCCGTGTGCAGAACTTGCAGTATGGACATAGGTTTAAGTTTTCCTTCATTCCTTGACTTAAATGGACCCGGTCTTTTTCCCGTAGAGCCTAACAGTCCATTCCACAGAGAAAGATCACGTGTAGTTCGTTACTTAATTTTACAACATGGTGATCATGTTGCATTTTCTCTGTATGGCATTGTTTCTTTCTCAGTCTCAGTTCGTCTCGTGGGTGGAGCGTCGTCTTACGAAGGTCGTGTTGAGGTATACTACCAAGGCCAGTGGGGTACAGTTTGTGACGATCATTGGGACCTTGATGACGCTAATGTCGTCTGTCGCATGCTTGACTTACCTCCCGCATCCAATGCTTGGGACAATGCTCGGTTCGGCCAAGGATCTGGTCCTATTGCTCTTGACGATGTCAATTGCTTTGGCTACGAATCCAGCCTTGGGCAGTGCCAGCACCAAGACTGGTTTAACCATGATTGCGTACACGGTGAAGATGCTGGAGTTACTTGCAGTGAATACATGGCAACTATGCCTCCAGGTTGGTCAAACTAATTTTGCCTTTTCCTGATTTCGTTAATCCCCTCTTTGTGCTCTACTGTAGCTCATAATGCTTCAGAAAAGCAACCTTTTAAATTCTAAGTCATATAGGTAGACTCTTGTCGGCAAACCATCAACTCTCAATAGTTTTGGATCAGATGTCAATTCTGAAAATGGAAATTAAATCTCAAATAAAAGTGAAGCTGACATCTTCTGACGGTTTCCTACTGAAAAAGATGTGTTCTCTAGCCAGTATATATTGGCAGTTTCCAACAGTCTTTATTAGAATTGCGAACACCAGTTGCAATCAGTATTCCAACCAAATATTCAGTTTGTCACTTAAATTTTGCGAGTTGGATCTAATGGTATGGTGTCTCTCAGGCGCTTAGGCTAAAGTGACTTTTGATGCCATATTGAAATGTTTTTTTTTTTTTTTTTTGGTGTGTGCTTTTTCACCTGTCGTTTCATAAACGTGTGTCATTGATGTCGCTGACTATAGTGCTGTTTCCAAGAAAGGTGTCCTTTTGGAGACAGTGCTTGTTGGCACCAATTAAGACTGGTACCCATTGATTGTCTATTTGTCTTAGTTGTTTCTGTAGCAGTTTTAAGTATTAGATTGCCCTTCATAGTTTCGTGGAATTGTGGTCTTGTGAATTCCCTTGCAAGTCCATGTGACTTGTGGCCAGAATCAAGACTGATTTGTAACATTGTTCTGAACAGGTAAAATCGATTTGAGCAACATTCATCTTGACGGTAATTTGGCAACGAAAGGCATAGTTCAAGGTTGGAAGAATGGCCAGTTTGTTGACGTGTGTAGCGATGATTGGGATTTGAATGATGCCAAATTGATCTGCCGACAGTTGGGTTACTCAACTAGTGGCGTCTTTGTGTATTCAGATACTAACTACAATGGTTAGTCATGAAAATAAAAATACCACTTAATTTGCTATAGAGTTGTTTCTTGACACCCGTTCTTTCGTGTGCACATCACTCCATAAAATGAACGATTACTGGCCAGTGATTTTTATGTATCCAGTAAATCCTACACAGCTGTAACTTCAACACCGTTGGTTATAAAACTCATTGGAATAACGGCGATGAGCTTCGTTTCCACTGCGCTACTTTCTCTTACAAAACCCACCTTGAACAATCCACAGCAAAATTTGGGAAATAACTCGCACGTATAATACACAGGTTTTTATTATTTTTTGTAATCATTCCACCCAATCGGTATTTTTATTTCCTTAGATTCGCCCTCTCATGAGAGTTACTCCATTTACTGTGACGGTCATGAAAGTCGACTTACTCAGTGCTACACAACCTCATATACATCCTATTCATACTGTATAAGAGGCATAGTAAGCTGCAAGATACACGAAGGTAATAACAGATCTTTTAGTGAAGCGCTCCTATAGTACTCTGCACGTGGCTCTGGCAAAAAGATCGTGAACCAAACTGAATATCAATAAGATGAATTATTGCAATTCTAAATGCTGAAACTTTGATTGTTTACAATTCAGTGCCTTTCTGTGGTTAATTTGTCTTAAGGTCTTTCAGACGGAGCAGTTGCTGGCATCGCTGTTGGCTCTGTGTTGACAGTATTCGGTCTTCTCGTCGTTTTTATTGTTGCTTTTGTCAAATGCTGTGGTCGAAAGCCGCCAAAGATAACCAACAACACAGATGCGCACTTGACGACTGTTCGTGATCCCAATTCCGCTGGGACCAGAGCCTTCAATAACCCCGTATACGTGGATACCTCCCTGGCCCAACCCATGGTTCTCCAACCACCTCCAGGGTACTACTCTACGCCCTTCAGTAACCAGACCAAACCCATTCCATCCCAGGCATGGGCGTAAATCCCGGCAGATGTAGGGTATATATCTCCTTCCTTTCAATTTTGAGGTGGGGGATAGGAAATTATGCCCCTACATTTTGTGGTGAGCAAAAGGTTAAAGCGAATTATGAGTTTTCGAACTACCCAACGTCTAAAATGTTGTCTGTTGTAAGATTCTGCATGAATGTAAGACATATAGAGCCTGAAAGTTGACCACTGATGACGTACTTCCGGAACCCTTGGATAGGAAAAATAATATGCAAAGATTGTAGAATTTGTAATATTTCTTCGTTCAGTTACTTTTTAAAAAATCCCCTGATGATGTACTTCCGGAACCCTTGGATAGGAAAAATAACGTGCAAAGATTCAGTGTAGAATTTGTAATATTTCTTCGTTCAGTTACTTTTTCAAAAATCCCCTGATGACGTACTTCCGGAACCCTTGGATAGGAAAAATAACGTGCAAAGATTGTAGAATTTGTAATATTTCTTCGTTCAGTTACTTTTTCAAAAATCCCCTGATGACGTACTTCCGGAACCCTTGGGTAGGAAAAATAACGTGCAAAGATTGTAGAATTTGTAATATTTTTTCGTTCAGTTACTTCTTAAAAAATCCAACTCGGAACTTTGAAAAATATTTGCTAAATATATCAATTTATCGAAACTGAAAAATCACCTGACCTAAAAGAGAAATATCCTGCCAAAAATTGACCCATCTCTTCCCAAATCTAAAATACATGAAGAACAGTGCAATGAGGCAGTCTCGTACACAGATGAATATTTACGGTTTGAATTTTATGGTAGTCCGTCGGTAAAAACCGAAATAAAAACAGATCAAAATATTTTACACAGTCTTATAATTTATAAGTAGTAAAATTAAAGCAGTATTCTGCTTCAATTACGAAAGATTCTAATCTTTCATATAACCTTTCTGAAAACAACCGCGTGATGTCAACTCAACGGAATCTGGAACCCCTCGACTGTAAGTAGGTAAATCTTTGCAACGTTGTACAATCTCGTTTTCGCGTAAGCACGGGCAGTGAAAACAAACGTTTATGAACAAGGAGACCCAGGTACGATATCGCCGGAAGTGAAAGGTCGTTCATAAAATCCGTTTGTTACCCATCTCCTGGTGACTTTTCCTGAATATTACTTGAGGAAGACAGAGGTAAAATTCTAACATGAGTGCTTCATGCATGGGGTGGTTTCAGTTAAGAAATATTCTACCAAAAATACTTAACATGATAGGACGGCCCAAGGTATAATCCTCATAGGAGGACCGCACGAGGGTTCCGGAAGCTCGCTGTGTGACCTTTCACTTTCAAGCTCTATTTCACATGTACGTCAATATCATGAACATCGACCTCTGTATCGTGTTATATAGTGTCATACCCCCAACCCGCTGTTCAACTTTTCAAAGCCAGGTAGCAAGTCACCTCCCCCCCTCAGTTTTCCCATCACCCATGCCCCCAATTTCTGGCACAATTTTATGCCACTGATCCCAGGTATCTTATGCCGGGATTCCCTTGTACTCTCCTAAAAAGGGCGTCTTCTGACCCACCACCGCATTCCAGTTCGTCTACAGATCCCCTGCGACTCTCTCTTCAGGATTGGAAAAAAATTACAAATCTCTAGACCCATTCTCTGAGTTATCTTGGCGCTCTCCGAGTAGTTCAGATGACGATGCAGGAAGCACCATACACATGAAGGGGATCAGCATAGATGAGGTGTCCATTTCAGAATTTTTTTGAAGTCAATTATCTCTACATTTTAATCATAACTGTGATCGTTTCAGATTAAAGACAAAATGTTGAAAACCTATCAAGGTTTTGGAGGGGATTTCTTCTGAGGGCATGAAGGTACACATGGGCAGTAAATTGTAAAACAATGGAAGAACTACACTGAACCAAATCATAATTTCATTGAGTCATCAGTTTCTTGATCCAAGAAAATTTAAGACGAAGACAAATCTTGGTATGGGCCTATACATTTTGCAGTGTGTCTAAGAGTAGTTTACTGGTTTGCTAGGAGCATTAGGTAAAAACAGTTGTTATAATCTGCTTTAGAGTAACGGTAGAGAATGTACGGTTTGCGCTTCAGCAAAGATTTTTGGTTGGTCATTTTATACGTGAACATTTGTATTTCCTGAAGAGAGTGTAATTCGTGTTTGCATGCGGTATGATTTATTGTACTGTATAAGAAAGGTTTCTATTAATTTTTTTCGAGTTTGATTATGTTCGTAGTATCTAAAGCTTTAGTGTTGACCGAAGCATTAACCCTCAAATAGACTTTTTTTACTCTACCACATGTGGTTGATTCCGGGACCTGCCTCCAAAGGCAACACCTTACTCCATCCACTGGCATGGCAACTTTCAAAATCAGTAGGCATGGAACGAATGAGTAAAACAACTGCATCTTTTTGTTAAAAGGGTTAGAATTGGCATTCCCTTCATGTACATTAAATAAGCAATTAAAAAGTAATACATTCCCAAAAATTCTTTGAATTAAAGAAAGAAAGCAGTTTTTCTCAGTGTTCACATTATATTGAATAATTGAATGGACAAGGCATACCCCTTTGAAATCATAATTTCTTTGAAAAGCTGAAAAAGTTTCAATTTTAGTTCATTTCAGTTAAATGCCTTATCCTTTGGATATCGATCATTATTGAAAAAAATGAAATGAAAAGCGTTCATTTGGCTGATTAAAGTTGGTAAGAATTATCCCTTCCATCATCAGTTTTATTAGACAATTCTTAAAAACTTTTGTTTAGGTGATTTTAATTAAATTGACAAACATTTTATTTTTTGGCATTTAGAATCTTCATTTTGGAGGATTCCAATGAAATTGGCAAGACTTACCCCTATAAAACCGTAAATTATTGTAAGCCTGCCCACAGCCAAAACATTTCTATTAGAAAATCTAAAAATTCTTCATTTTGACAAATTTTTATTAACTTTTTGAACTACTCAGTAATTTTACAGTTTTGTAGGGGTACGTCTTGCCAAAGTTTTCAACTTTTCCAAGAAATTACGATTTCCAAGGGATTAGTCTTGCCAATTCAAGTAAAATGAAGCAAAATGAAACTTTTTCAGTTTTTCCAAGAACTTGCGATTTTCAAGGGGTAAGCCTTGTCAATTCAATTAAAATGAACCAAAATGAAATTTTTTCAGCATTTCCAAGAAATTATGATGTCCCAGGGATTAGCCTTGCCAATCGATAAAAAGAATTGCAATTTTAATTAAAATCAGGAAAATGAAAGTTTTTGAGCTTTTTAATAGTTTACGGTATTGTGGGGGTAAGTCTTGCTAATTTCCTTGAAATCCTCCCAAATGAAGATTTTTAAGATTTTCTGAAAAATTCTTAGTTGCAAGGGGTAAGCCTTGTCAATTCAATTAAAATTAACCAAAATGAACTTATTCAACTTTTCCAAGAAATAACGATTTCCAAGGGGTTAGCTTTGCCAATTTAATCAAGAGAATTGCAATTTTAATTAAAATCAGGAAAATGAAAGTTTTTGAGCTTTTTAATAGTTTACGGTATTGTGGGGGTAAGTGTTGCCAATTTCATTGAAATCCACC